GCCTGTTTTACTGTGTTTATTTCTGTTAGTAATTATGAATCGGGTTTGAGAAAAATCTGATTTCTAAGCAAAGACGGCCTGAGATTAAAAAGTGGGAATAAGAATCAAGAGAGAAAAAAGAAAATAGAGATCATGTGGGTTCCTTTTCAGATGCTAATCTCATGGTTTCTCAAACCCACTGGCATCTAAACCAGAAAAAAAAACTGTTTTCCTTGGCATCTCTCACTCTCTTTCCTTTACTTTCTCTGCCACTCTCTCTACGGACAGCCCACTGTGCTCTCTAGCTCAAACCTCCATCATTGTTCTGAAATTAATACACCTTCTTTCACCACAAATACAAACCAACCAAAAACAAAAATTATCCAGAAAAGTATGAAAGAGCCACAGAGACAACCAGAACCACAAGTAGAAGGAAAAACAAGCAGACCRGTAAACAACCACTTTATCAAAAGACAAACAATAATTTGTCGGTCACCCTGGACTCCTTTCTGTTAGTGGTCTGATTTGGAGTTGGCTTCTGCACCATGCAACAAAAGTGAAGCACATTGTTGGCTCGGCACACTAAACTGGCTGATCTGCAAACACGCCGATGAACAATAGAAATGAATCTGACAAATTGCTTGGTTTTGGCATCAAAGTTGGCTTTTACTCCAAGCCCTCACCCAGTCCTGCCAGACTCCTACTCAGAAACTGACAGCTATGAGAAATGGTGCTCTGATCCAATGATAACGTTTGGAATGTTACCATATATTAAAAAGAAGGGGAGGCGGCTAATAAAAGGGGGACATAACTGAACTAAATACGAGTGATTTTCAAAAAAGAAGAGAGTAAAAGTGGATTAAAACCCTCATATCTGTTGTTTTGGAGTTTTGCAATAATAAGCAAAGCCCTTTTATATTTCATTTAACTAAAAGGTTATACTTCAAATCCTCTGCTTGCAATTAGTCCCCAGTATGTCATTTGTCAAGAGGCAAGCCATTCATTTCTACCCTGCCAGTTTTTGTTACAATTAACTGTTTCCTGCAAAGAAAAAATAAATAAACATGATCTTGAGGGAGGAAGTATGTCCAGCACCTGGTTTGGACCATGATTAGACAACATGTAAAAATCAAATGATCTTCTAAAACCTCTTTAAAATGCAGCTCCTCAGAGAACAACAAAAAGAAAGAAAAGACTTTTTCTTTGGTAGCATTTTCACTTCAGAAGAAAAAAAACACTGATGAGATTAATGACCAGCCGATGAGAAGTGAACAAGCGATAAACACCGTGTAATTTGTCCTCAGAATCTGCAATAAGTTTAATAAACTCCCAGCTTTACTGGTGGCCCATTTATCTGTGTTTTGTTACAATATTTAGAGACTAACACGAGGAATCATTAATCATTAGGAGGGGTTTTTCAACCTGTGTTTAAGTTTTTCTGTAGTGAATTTTAAATTTATTCTCACCTAGCACCAATTTGGTAGGGGTGTATAAAAATATCAACACACTGAAATATCACAATATTTAATTTCCTGATACTGTGTTGATTTTTAATGAATGCTTAATGGATGGATGTTGTAAGACGAAATGTGAATTACAACTRCAGTTGCATAAAAATAAATTTTATTCACGGTGTGCTCTTATTGAGTCTTTTAAATTTTGAATATTTGAGAAAAATATGCAAATATATCACCTTGCTTACAGTATCGCAATATATGATATTGTGACCCCTATGTTGTGATATTATTATAGCACCAAATTCTTAACAATACCCAGCCCTACCAATTGGATGGTTTTATTTGTAGATCTCAAACACCAGTAAAATTATTTGGTCATTATTACCCAAGTGTGCAATAAATAAATAAATAAATAAATAAATCCAACTTCTCTCAGGAGATATTTCAGATTAATGAACAAGAAATTATATCTAAATTAATCTGTTATACTTCATTATCAACGTTTGAAGTTAGATAAAAAAAACACATCTGTTTGCAATTATTTTCACAGCATGCCTAAATTGAAGCATCTTGTATGTATGAATAGCTTATGCACGCCACAGCTCAACAACTTCAGTTTAAGAACTCTCACATTGGGAGTCAGAAAAACCAGACCCTCCACTACATCTGGTTTTAATGCAGACCTGAGGGAAGTGACAATGTTCTCACACGAGCTGAAAACTCACTCAGGGTGTTTTTTTTTTTCATGACAGCAGTGCTGCTTTTGGCACAACTCCGGGATCCTCTCCGCTACTGACGAGTAGATTTACTACCTGGCAAACTAGCTGCAGCCACACCATGTGCTGTTTGTAAATAGAAAATTAGCCATACAAATAGTTTGAGTGTCTCAAATCGTGGTGCACTGATGTGTGTTAAGAACCTTTAGTGGCAAACCAAAGCATGTGGCAGTGGAGCAATACAGCTCATTTATTGTTCTAGCTGTAAATATAATTGAAGGTTGTGTTTTACTTCTACCATTATTAAAGGGGCGGGGGGTATTATGCAAAATGAAGCTTTTTGAGCTTTATATCATGTTATAATGTCAGTATTGCTTTGACTCATTCATGTTTGAGAAATCCTTAAATCTCTTGTGGTAGCCATTTGGAAGAGTCTTAACCTTTGCTGGTACAAAGCTCCACCTATTTACCCAAAGCTCCTCCCTGGAGCTCAGTCCCCAGCCGAGCTACTGCCCCACAGAGCACCCCACCCCCATACAGCTCTACTAGACTAGCAGTAGGAGGAATATTTCTTTACAAATCACTATGATTTTGTTGCAAAATGTTTCTTAAATATGGTGATTGTTCACAATATCCTTGCAAAGCATTAGATTCATAATGATCTTATATTTATGGTTTCATTGCAAAAAGTAGCCTAGCATTGATGTGTACGAATGAAAGGATGACTGGGAGATATTTTACCAAACGGAAACGTAGGGCTGGGCAATATGACTTTCCCAATCCCAAATTCGATTTTTGATATTGCTTTCCACTTAATGGAATGCCTTTGTTTCAGGTGTTGAAACAAATTTTTGCTTTTTGTAGCAAGAGCCTTCAAACAGATTTTGTAGTGAGGTGTTTGTTGCTCCAAGTCCGAGGTTGCGAAACCTAACCAATTCCAGAAAACTGAAGAAACCGTGCTTTTTGAGAAGTAGATCCTCTTTGCTGGCTGCCATTTTGTCATGTCATGTACCAAGCGTCTTGAGGGACAGGTGGGGTGACCTCTGAACTACAGAAGCTCCAAAGAGTGCATTGGTGGGGGGAAAAAAATCCAGATTTTCCCAAAATTAAATCTTTATAAATGGCAAATTTGAATTAACCGATTAAATCAATTTATCGCCCAACCCTACGTAAACGTCTTATAAAAGCCTCTGTACTTATGCTGGTTCTTTAGAAAACATATTTCTGTGTCCAATGGGGATCTTTCAATAAGGTTCAACTGTATCCCGAGTTGCCATTTTCCAAAACCAATGTTATATAATGTTGCTTCTTTTTACAACAAAATACAACACTCCTACAAAAGACTGTAAAAAAATATATGTTGTGAAGACGTACTGAAGTAGTAGTGTCAGAAATGGTAGGAGGTCCTTAAAAAGACAGAGGCCAATTTCAAGACAGGCTATGACGCAAAGTCAAATTTATTTTTGATATAAACAGCTTTTTTATTAACAACTAAAGGTAACATAAATACTTGATTGTGGTATAGAATTAAACTAGAACACCCTCACCCCCTTTAAAAATTACTACAGGTAAGGATAAACTCAACATTTACAGAACATTCTCCTTCTCAATAAGAAGAGAAATGAGTTTGTGTAAAAACACTCTTTAAGCTGATGCTATAGTTGTAAGATAATCAATAAGACCCCCCATGATGAAAACATAATTATCATTATATTTGCTGCTTAAATGCAAGGAGGGAATAAAGGTGGGACAGGCGTAGAATTTCTGTCTAATCCATGTAACAGATTAAACATTGAAACAAGATTTTTCCTCTTAATGGGGAACAAGACAGAGTGAAATCAATGAGCAAATAACTGAATTTAAAAATGGAGGGTGCAGTGATGAGGCTGGTTGTACTTTTCAGGAAGTTGTCGTCAATAAAACCCCCTCAGGCACAAGAAATCAGGAAGGATGTTCAATAACACTACAGGGTTCTATAGAGTAYTATATTTCACATTTATGAGTGAAAGAATCTTTATACTGTGATACTTCATTAATCTGCAGTGTTGGCTTTTAATGTTTAATTATCCTACAGTGGAATGGCTCTGGTTGCAGACTATATTGGCCATCTGAAACTAATATTTGTGTGCATCTGTGTCTTTAAGTGAGTGAAGGGCCGACTAATGCACCATTAAACTGTAACTGTTTAAGGTTCTGTGTTACATATTGTAGTGCAGGATCAGACGCATTATGAATCACAGTTATGATTTTAAACAACTGTGATCAGATTAGGGCATGATGGATGAAATAAACTAGTGTCCAGTAAATCCACAGAGTTTATGTCTGGATCTGTGCAGCAGAAAAGACATTCATAAGGATAACAGATGAGATTTACTTTGTAAGTTGAAACTCATGGCCTCGAGTCTGGTTTGAACCACTTTTAAAATTTGGGGAAACCACCAGAGGCATGTCTTTTAAAGGATCATATACAWTAACTGCAACTTAAGGCAAACATATGGCAGTACTAGTATGACTTTCAAGACAGAAGTACAATCTCTACAACTAAATTTTGGCATGAAACGAATAAAGACAGCATTGGTGTGCAGCCTAACTCTGCAGAAAGACACATAGTCAAATATAAATGGGTGAAATTTAAAGTGGACGTCTTCGAGGACGAGATAAAAATTGTGATGACATTCTGTATAAACTCTGACCTATTTGCGAGATGACATATCTATGTCATAAACTCGTGATGAACTCTGCATGTGATCAGGAGCCAAATCAGATAGAAGCACACTTTTTAGAGGTTTCACACACACACACACACACACACACACACACACACACACACACACACACACGGTCTAACCTGGCATGTGGGACGTCGATGCTGGACGAGACTACTTTGCGTTTCTGCTCCAGTAAGGACACCGATCGGGTATCGAGGTCCCGGCTGACACGCTTGCCTTCCACCGGCCTCGGCTCCACTGCAGCCTCTGGGCTCARGCAGCCCCCCTCCACCTTCTGGCCATCTGAAACCCCGTTACTGGAGCTCTGCTGCAGAGGAATACAGACAGGAATAAAGTCAGTGCTTRTACACAAAACCAGAAACAAACAAAAACAAGCTGGTCTCAATGTTGAGGAARAAATTATGGACACACAACTCAAACTTCCACTTGTAAAATGATAAAAATCATATGCAACCGTGYAAATAATAAAGTAGGTAGGCACACCAAATGACTACAGTAAATATTACACAATACTGGGAAGTATTAAGAAATAAACTTTGTTTTTCAATCCAGTACCAGAGATAAAGTCCAGGTTTGCAATCAAAATGTTGACAATAATTCTATATTTATATTTTAAATGGAGGGTATATTATGGTTGTGGAAAAATGTCCAGATACTTGGGCCAAAACTAACTTTTCCAAAACATATTTGGAAAAAAAATCAGAAATGAAAAGTGGTAAGTTGGAAAACAAAGCTGTTCTTCCTGTAGACATTCTGAGGTTTCAGACAAAACGTCTATTGTAACAAAATAAGCCTTTTTTAAGTATACAAATACTTTCCTTTTTTATACCAATTTCTGTCATGTGATTTAAGTGTCAGAATTTCATAGGGAATATTATTGTTTTCAGAAATTTAGCATGATTCATAAAACAGGCCAATATTGAACAGTAAATACAGATATTAACWAAAAAAATGTCCGATTTTTTCTTCGTATTCTATGGAGCTTCATAAATTTTTAATTTTACACTTTGTTTGCAACTTAAGAACAAATACGTCATTTTCTGTGAGGGTTAAGCTGTTGACCATTACCTGTCTGTAAAACCAGTAAATGTTTTGTACACAACAGGTCCAGTCAAATTATAGTTATGGGTTTTGTCTTAGATAAACTCTAATTTGTGATAACTTTGTTGACTGGTTTACGTCAACAAAAAATGAACAATCATTTAAGAAATAGGCTATTTTGCCTGAAAATGCACAAAAATGATCTCCTCTTKGACATGACAATAACAAAGTTCCACTTCTGTATAAGTACCTGCGTGCATCTACACACACATGCATATATCAACACACATCTATAAAAAAGCCTTCAGAATCTTTAATAACACTCCAAGAGGCCAGAATAAGCAGAGTGACTCACACAGCTGCCACTGACAATACAGGAGTAATTTGGGCCAGTGTGTGTGAGTTAAATCATCTCAAAGTACTTTAACCTTACTCTTCATAATGAGAAACTGCTACACTCTCCATCGCTCTGCAACAGAAAGCCACATTTACTTCAATGATTAGGAGAAAATATTAAAAAGCAATCCCTTATTATTGAGGCTTTTCACAATAAAAGTTCAGTTTTCCTTGAAAAGAAGAACAACAGGATAGATTGCAGTGGGTCTGAGAAGATTAGGAGTTGTGTATTTATGTGTATGATGACTGTCCTGTTCGGATAAAACCAACTGCAATCTCTTCCTTTCACTAAGCTTATGAATCAYGGTATTTAACAAAGCAAGAAAACAGAAAATCCTGCCAAAACTAAAGTTGAATGMGCCAAAGCCTGAGTGAACATTTGTGAGCTTGAGCACAGAAAACATTTTAGTTTCCTCTCCTCTTTAACCCTCTCTTCATCCTCCTAACAACTGTTTGGTCAGAAGCTTTATCATTATTTAACATTTAGACGTCAAAAGGTCGCATAATCCCAACTCGTGTGTTTTTATTTATTTCTAAAAGCAACTCACAAAAATTAAAGATGTTATCGTGTTTGAGAATAAAGTTTATAAAGTTATAATTAGATAGAGACATCCATAAAAAATTGAGACATTAATGTAATTACTAGCAAAATATGAAAACAAATGTGTGTTTTTAATAAAAAAATATGTTCTTCTTGAATTTGCGCCAGTTCGGTTCTTAAAAGACGTCTTTGTTAAGCCACTGTGGTTTCCTGTAGTAAGTCATGACCAAACAGTGTCACGAGTGTGGTCACACACACACAAACACACACACACACACACACACACACACACACACACACACACACAGCAATGCTGCATGATAAAGGTCATTTGACAACAGTGCTGTAGGTTAGAGTGTTCAAATTCTCACAATCCTCATATATAAATGATAACAAAAAACACAAAAATAATATAAAACTCAGCTGACAAACTGTCAGAAAGTTGACGTGTGGTTTCCCCCCCTCTATAAACTGAGGAATGCACCAACAACATTCAGGTGAACGCTCCTGATCGACAACAAGGACAAAAAACTCGCACACAACCGGCGTTCTTCTCAACGACACACATCCGAAATGACCTCATCTGTTGTTAAAAAGCACCTCCATCTTCCCACTGCTCTCTCTGTCTGCGGTGTTTTGTCAGTTCAAACAGGCCTGAAAGATGTTTAGAGAGAATCTGGAATTTAGAATATGCTCCCGCAGTCATTCTTTTTTTACAACACGATGCCGCACTCCCMGTAAATTTGTAACTCCACACATCGTACACGCCTCACGACAATCAAACAAAAAAAAAAAATCCTTCTTCCTTATCTGTTTTGCTTCCACCCTGMATCTCCAACTCCTCCGCTCTTATTTGTCTGGACTTTATCTTATTCCAGGAATTGTTTTGGGGATTGGGAAGTTCAGTTATCCTAAACTATTATTTAGCAAGCAGCTCTCCTGCTGGCATAATTATGCATCAGCACAGGTAGAAAGTGTTAGAAGTACAATCACTATCCAGTCGAGCTGCATGATATTTTGTTTGAGCATCGTCATCGCAATGCAATCACAGGTACTGTGCTATAGGAGGCAAATTAAATCAACGTGTTATCTAGCCACTAATCCATAATTCATGCTTATAAGCAATATACTGTATATCACAGGGTTRGAAAAGGATCACAATGTCAGTTTTKCTCAGTATCGTGCAGCCTYAACAGGAATCATTCACAATTCGATGACACCTCCTTTGTCTGGACCACTGCGCTTCGTCCTGATGTTCAGCTGCTGGGGTCTGAGCGTCAGAACAAAGAGTCACTCGGCCTCTGCTCTGTCAAAAACTTTGCTTCACTGTGCGCTTAACTTGAACTCCAAGTGGCAGCACAACAACCCAAACAAGTCAAGCCTCTTCCCAGGCATCAAGTAAGTAAGCTGCAGTTGCTCGGGCTGCACAGCACACTCGTGCACAAACCAGCGAGTCAACAAGTGGCATCCCAATCCCTCCCAAACGCTGCAAAAAAAAAAAGGGGGGGGGGGGGGGGCATTCATTTGCAGTACCAGGCACAATGCCAGGCATCCAGATTCTTTGGCGCACGCCACCCGTTACCAACCTGGGGGTGCCCATTTTTTTGGCCGTGTTCAAAGCTCTCACGAACAACCCTCATTTCAAAAATTGAAAAKCTCACAAAATACACAAAGGAGGAAAATCCCATCCGTGTTTCACTACACGCTCATGCACACTAAAAGCAATGCACACGTGAATCTACACGCACACACAGYCGACTCCTCCTCCTCATTTTATGGCTTGTTTTCGACTTCGGCGAGAATTGAGTCGTGCTGAAAGAGACTTGACCATTGTGTTGACAGGACGAGGGCTGCACTGGAACGATGCAGCGCAGCAGTTTTTTTTTGAGTGCACACACCAAAGAGGAAAAAGGGAAACAAAAACACAAAACCATAAGAGTTTGCAAAGTTATAGGCAGAGCTCTTTGTGTGGAGCGTTAAAATTAAAGTTACCAAAGCCGCACAGGATTTACAAGCGAGACGAGTCCATTCAAATGTGTTATTGTGCTGCTGTAGCAAATGTGGTTCATCTAAGAATGTGTGGAGACAAAGAGTGGCCACATGTTTCCTGTTGGTTGTAGAAATAGCTTGTAAGTTGCTTCATCTGTAACACCAAAACAAAAACAGAAGCAAAAAGATGTTTGTAAATTCAAATCAGGGTTTTAAAAAAAGTGTTATTTTTACACACTCTGTGGTCCCTCCCTCTCTGTAACAACACACACACTTTCTCCTACAACAAAAACAGTGTTCATCTGGACTGGGGTTGCTCCTCTTGGTTAAAAAAGCCACTGCAACATACAGGGATAAATTAAATCCTGTATTGTGTGTATTTGGGTGCAAATATGAATTTAAAGGCTGGATGCTGATGATTTAATGTAAAKCCTACGTGCATAAATGTCCGACCAAATCGCTGCAGTCAGACTGTTTGTTTCCCTCAGATTGCCCACCCTCTGTAGCCCACATAAACATTGCGCAGGCCCCATCGAAGCCCGTTTTTGTCCCACATTATACACATTACCGCCAAAAACAAACGTCGTGACAGYTCGTTTTCTGATTAAATAATCTCACAGACCGGCATCGTGGATGCTCTGATGGAGGCACGCTTGGAGCTCGCCGGTTATATTTTTCGCCGTGAGCGGTGACACCATTAAATCCGCTCCGTGCAGGAAGCGGTTAAAACGCTGCAAAACACCGCACAACAAAAACACAGAAGCGCAGCCTGCCGGCCGGGGCCCTCTGCGCGCGCGCGCGCACCCACGCACACACACATACACACACCTTCAGGCTGGACTTGAGCGGTCCTTTGGCTGCTGTGTGGCTGGAGCCCGCGGCTATCTCCTCCTCGGTGAACTCCTTCAGGCTGCCGTCTTGCATGAGCACGGTGTAAACGCTTCGCCGGGCTCCGGCGGCCGAGACGTCCCTGTTTTCCTGCTTGACAGCCTGGACCACCCCCGTCACCGGAGCACCGTCCCCCGTCGGACTCGGCGCATAAACGCGGCTGCCGAGGATCGACCGTTTGACCAGGCGCCTGGTGTGCATTGTCCTCAAAAAAATAGATATTTAGAGTGTGTCTTCGGAGCAGTCGAGCCGGTGGATTTAACTCACAAAACGTCGAATTACAACCGGGTAAACAACGTCGAGAAAAACACAAAACCGCAGCGGGCTAACTGGGCGCTCCGACAACCGTAACAAAATGTTAGAAAGCGGCAACATACTCGGGKAAGAGAAGGGGGTGGACGAAAACTCCGAACGGCGTCCCGGATGCACCGAACTCAGAAGCACACGAAACCGAAGAACTTTGAATTAGCACCACGACGACATGAAAACGATTCATTCGCCGCTACAACAACCTCCACATCCAACCGGCTACCAATCTGCGTCCGCTCGACCTGTTTGTTTTCCCCMACTGCTCTCAGAGAGCCGAGCGGGGCGGCGGGAAAACACGGAGCACTCGGCAAATTCCGTAACCGAAACGACGCCCGAACACGTTAAACAAGACGGCGTCCTGTAAGGACCAAAACAGCTCGGACAAGAAGCGAATGAGGGCGAACACGTAGGATTATTCCACTCCGCTCGACCGTACGGTTCTCTGCGCGACTTTAAGTGTCAAAAATGGCGCAAAAAAATACGTCTCTTAGTCGACTCCAGGTCCGTGTTGCTGTCGGATCCAGTCCGCCGTTTGTTCCGACCGAGCAGGGCCTCTACCGGCGGAACGCTGCCTGTAAACATGTGCGGTCCGGTAGCCGAGGCGGGCTGCAATTGGACGCCGCAGCACACGCCTCCACAAGCCCCCACCGCACCCTCTTTTCCTGCAAAGGGGGGARATATAACCGTGGAGGCTGCTCCATTCAAAACAATGACGCAAGGATGGAACGGAAACAAGAAGGGAGGGCAAAAAGAAGAAGGGGAAA